GTGGGTAACAAAAGTGAGGGTAGGGTGTCAATATACATGGTTTTTGAGTTACAAAGATATTGTTGGAATTTAGTTATTTTTCCTATTTATGACCAAAATGATAGGAGGAGAGGCTTTGGGGTGGGGGAGTAAGATGAGGTAGATGACGCAACAGACCGTGCTGCAGGTACATTGCCTCCTGCAGGGTAGATTGTGTTTATACCTGGGCTGTGCCATGCTTTGGATAATGATAATAATTTAATAACAACAGACTGCATATATATGGGGGGTTTGAGTTTAATAAATCAGTTTTGAGGTAAGAATCTAAGAAGATATCAAGCTAGAATTATTAGTCAAGTTATTACCTTCTGGCCAGGGAAGCTGGTTAGTCTGGGCATCTCAGCTGAGGGGAAGGGGCTGAAGAGGAGAGGGGAAGAAGGGCCTCTGGCTCTTGGTCACCTGGAAGCTGAAGGACTCAGGGGGACCAGCTCCAGCCTTGGTCCTTACACTGCTGGGCAGTGAGCAAAGCCAGCATGAGGTGCTGAGACATGGACAGCAGGCCTGGGCTACATATACCTCTGGAGTAGACAGCACTATGCTCCTGGTCTCCTGGAACTGATACTACTTACTCAGAAATGGAATGTCTGAGATCATTAGGTCAAATCCCTTACAGATGAGGAAACTGAGGCACAGAGCACTCAAGTGACATCTTAAGTGAGTGCCAGAGCTAGGACCAAATTCATGGCTCTTGATTCCTGGCCCCATGATTTTAATGCTCTTGACTGACAGGCAGCTCTGCAAATGGAAGGGCATTGAAGGCTGGCAGGGAAGAATGCGAGAGCCATGCTAATGGAAGAGAGTGGAGGGGGCAGCTGGTAGGAAATGGGAAGGCTGTAAAGAGCCAAAATATCCATTCCTCCTCTTGGCCGTGTCCCAAGGAGAAACATAACTTCCAAATGTTCCTAATAGGGACATAAACAGTCACTCAGAAGAACCACACAAATAGATTGACCAAAGGCCATGAAATGTCATTTATGCTTAATGAGTAAGCACTCCTATTTACTCAGACTCCTAATGCAGCTCTTCAGCCTCATTCTTTCCTCTTAAGTCATTGGAGACCTTCCTTGCCATTACTCCCTTCTTATTTGTTGTGTTACTGTCCTTGTACCCACAGACAACTGCAGTTTAGAATCTATCTGCCCATTGCTCTCAGGTTCTGGAGTAAAGGAGAAAAAGTTGATGAACTTGGGTGACATGACTTGCCTGAAGTGTTTGATATTCTGAAAAGGGGCTACAGGGAAGAACAACGAGCAAATCCATAAGTCAGCATTATATTTATTCCTGTATTGTGAGGAGTACTGCCTCTACTTCATTTGTGAGCCATAATTATTTGTTGGTTTTAGCAAGACATTTCTCTTCCTGCTGATAAGGAAACAAAAAAGGCATTTACTGTGCTAGTCTAGAATATGAACTGTAAGCTGTGTTCTTTGTTTGTTTGTTTATTTGCTTTTAGTTTTAATCTATGATCAGAGGCTTAAAGGTTGAAGGGGACCGTGGAGGACTGCTAGCCTCCCCACCCTCTTTCATGCAGGGAGCCTCTTTCCAACAGCCCTGCCAGTGGTTCAGATCCCTTCCCTCTGAATCCCCACAGGGAGTCACTTCTACCTCTGTGGAAGCACTTGCTTCATTTTGCCTTAAATTCCAGTTATTTGAGGACTTGTCTTAAGTCTCAGCTGTGAGCCACTGTGGGCAGGGGGTAGGTGGGCAGGAATCCTATCTAATTCCTCTTTGATCTCCTCAACACAGAGCCTGGCCCACTCTCCATAAATATTTGAATGAGTGACAAGGTGCTAAGAGTCTCCAGAGGCAGCCACAGTTGGACACCTCTAATAGCTAGAAAGTTATTCCTAAAAGTAAGCAGAAATATGCCTCCCTGTGTGCCTTGGGAGGGAGGAGAATGTAACTGGCAATGATGACAAAGGGCTGGGTGTCCATAGGATATATCTGGGGACAGGGTAATGCCTTGCTCTTACTGCTTTTTTTACATTCCATCTGGCCAAAGTACACAAGGCCTTTCTCCAGGACAGGAAAACCCAGAAACCTAGATAGATCTGGATAAGGGACAGGGGCATGGATTCCTGGATTTGAATCCAGTTTGGGAGGACAGCTCTATCAGATACTGTCAATGTCCCACCCATATGGCCTCAGCCTGCCCTGGGGGTCATCTGCAGGTGATTCTCATACAAACTGACAGCTTCCTGCATTTATCTGCAGTGATCACTCTCTGACCTCAGAAGTGTGCTTGGTCTGTTTGTGGATTCGGCTGGAAATGCCAGGAACTTACCCCAGGAAGGACCTTCAACCAAAGATCTGTGGGACTTAGTGCATCAGAAACCCAGATTCCTCACCTCTCAGTGGGACAGCTCAGAGGTGTGTTTTATAGTTTCCCGAAAGGTCTCAACAGGGATTGAACCCCAGTTGCTCATAGCACTTAACACATCCATTATTCATTTCTCTCCCTTTCCTCTTTGACTTCCCCTCTTTTTTTTTTTTTTTTTTTTGAGAGGGAGTTTCGCTCTTGTTACCCAGGCTGGAGTGCAATGGCATGATCTTGGCTCACCACAACCTCCACCTCCTGGGTTCAGGCAATTCTCCTGCCTCAGTCTCCTGAGTAGCTGGGATTACAGGCACGCGCCACCATGCCCAGCTAATTTTTTGTATTTTTAGTAGAGACGGGGTTTCACCATGTTGACCAGGATGGTCTCGATCTCTTGACCTCGTGATTCACTCACCTTGGCCTCCCAAAGTGCTGGGATTACAGGCTTGAGCCACCGCGCCCTGCCGACTTCCCCTCCTTTTCACTATGCTTCCTGGGACCATGGCCAAGTAAACTCTCTCCCCGAAATCTTTGTCTTAATGTCTGCTTTGAGGAGAACCCAAAGTAAGATAACGACAAGAGCAGGAGATTTGAGGGACTCCTCATGCTATTCTTCCCATAGAAGATAAAACTGTATTTCTCTTGAATTTAAAAAAAAAGAAGATAAAACTGTCAAAATCAGTGTGTGCTTTCCCCTCCCCCTTGTTTCCCTCTATTTCTCAGTGCAGAGTGGTTTTTCGGTCAGTTCTATAAATAGAGGTTAATTTTCAGTAGAATTTGTGTCCTAACTCAGAAAACAAGGCTGAGAATGAATCCAACATCTTGAGAGGATAGTTATTTCCCATAACAAGAACCAGTAATATCCCAGTTCTGTTAGGAAAATGCACTGTGTCAGAAAGGTCTCAGGCCAGACTAAAAAAAGAGATGACACATGGGGGTCATTAGACATCAGGATGGATTTGTGTGGAACTTCTTCACTTAACCTTTTAAACTTACACAGAGACATTTTAAATTAGGAGAGACCCTATCAACCTGGCCCAGGTTTGGGATGGAGTGCTCAGAGGTCAGGGACAGCTAAGACAAATGGGGACCATGAGGGAAGTGAGAGAGGAAAACAAAGAATCTTCATTATGACTGCTGAGTATTAATGAACTATACCTGGGCTAGTAGAACCTAGAGAAAATGTTGTTACTGAAGAATATGTATAATCATTTGAGAAGATTTGTAACAAAGAATGAAGGTGCCTACCTGCTCCTCCTTCATGCAGATATTGTGTGATTCAGAAAAGCTCCCTGTGGATGCCACATTACCTGATTGTTTTGACACCTCAGACAACTAACAGGAGATAGCAGTTAAAAATAGCCATAATCACTGCTGTCTTATGTTTGTGGGGTTTTTCTTTTGTCTTGTTCTTTCTTTTGTCTTGTTCCTTCCTGGAGCATTTTTTTTGTTTGTTTGTTTTTTGTTTTTTTTTTTGAGACGGAGTTTTCGCTCTTGTTACCCAGGCTGGAGTGCAATGGCGCGATCTCAGCTCACCGCAACCTCCGCCTCCTGGGTTCAGGCAATTCTCCTGCCTCAGCATCCTGAGTAGCTGGGATTACAGGCACGCACCACCATGCCCAGCTAATTTTTTGTATTTTTAGTAGAGACGGGGTTTCACCATGTTGACCAGGATGGTCTCGCTCTCTCGACCTCGTGATCCACCCGCCTCGGCCTCCCAAAGTGCTGGGATTACAAGCTTGAGCCACCGCGCCCGGCCTTTCCTGGAGCGTTTTTTGATGACCTAATAGGTAACAGCATACAAGTTTATAAATTTTTAATTAGCAAGCAAAGATGGAAATGAATGTAAACAAAACAAGTAAACAAAACACAAGATGACAGGAGACAATGGGCCAAGAGAGCCCCTCCTTGATGTCCTTTAGGGTACCCACAGAGGCCTTTTGGGATCAGGTGGGGAAATCCTCCTAAATCAAGGAGGAATAAGAAAGGGCTTCACTGACCTTATTATTAGCCTGGAAAAGTAAGTGGCTTCAAATACTGTCTTTATTTAAACTTTGTCTGATGACCAGTGCTTCGGCTCTTTTGGCAGGGCTGAAGGAGGTAGGAAGAAGGTGGGGACATCTTTGCTAGGCGATAGGAAGATGTGGAATTACCATGTTTCCTTCGCCCTCTTTGATGAGTACTTCTGCCTTGTATGTAGGTGGCAATAATGCCCTGGGTACAGCCCTCTCTTGAGCAAGAGAGATGTCTCTGCCTCTGTTAGCTTGTGTCCTTATCTGAGCCATCACTTCCAAAGAGCACTCTTGGGAGTGATATGCCATCTCCAGGAATGACCTCGTATGATGGTTGTGAGGATTACATAAAGGCAGTCCATGTAAAGTGACTGCTTAAAGTGCATTAACAGTTGGCACAAAATCTATGCTGGCTCCCCACAGTGAAAGGTCCGTGATATCTACTGAAATTGAATTGTAGAAAAAGATTTCCCTTGGTCGAAAAACAAATACACTAATATAGGCTGTACCAGCTTCTCTCACTCAAGACTTTTTGTTTTGGGTAGCTCCCTTCCCCAAATATGCACCCCACAAAAGTGCTCATTGTATGTCTTTTGAGCTTGCCCCACTGAGCATTCTCCTTTGCTTTCCAGAATGCCTATGTCAACATCAACCGCATCATGTCTGTGGCTTCCCGCCTCTCTGAGGCTGGCCATTATGCCTCACAACAAATCAAGCAGATCTCCACCCAGCTAGACCAGGAGTGGAAGAGCTTTGCCGCTGCCCTGGATGAACGCAGCACCATCCTCGCCATGTCTGCTGTGTTCCACCAGAAGGCTGAGCAGGTAAGGCCGCAAAACCCACAGCAGCTGCTCTTGGTGGGAAGGGTTGGGCACGGGCAGGGGAAGGCTAGGTAGGAGCACACACACTCAAGAGAGAGCTCTGCCTGTCTTTCTCAGACACTGAAGACCCTGCTGAGTTGTTGCAACAGTAACCTATGTTCTATCACTTTCACAACTCCTGTGTGCACAAAGAAACACTGGTAACTCTTGGTGACTTTGCTTGTCATACAAATAAGACGAGACCCAGAGTCTGTTTACATTTTGCTTGGTAGTGGTTGCGTGTGCATATGTGCATATGTTGACTGTCCACTTAGTGTGCATTCTCTGAACACAGATCAAAGGGGCGAATGTAAAATGATCATTGAGGTGCAGAGAGCAGGGGGACACTGATTTTACCTGAAGCATTTGCTGGGGATAATAGTAATATCATAATATAATGGATCAAGATAATAATTACTTGTACTTACTAAGTGGCCAGGCATTGGCCAGTGACACTGCTAACCCATTTTACAAAGAGGAACACTGAAGCTCAGACAGATTAAGTGATTGACCTGCCTAAGATCCCACTATGTGTTGGAGCCTGTCTTGTACCAGCTCATAGAGAGACAGTTAAATTTTCAGAAATTTTGTGAGCTGATTATCACATTTAGTCATTGCTTAATTATGTAAGTTTATCATTAAATATGTTATGTTAAAAGCAAAGTTAATAAATATTCAAAACTCATCATTTCCTGATTATTTTACGACCTGTTGTTATTACCTATGTTCTTGAGGTCATTTTTATGTATTTATTTTTTTCTATGGTGGAAATACCATACAGTTGTGTGCTGTGTATGGATCATCTCTTCCCAACTCCATGTTGGTGATGTCACATTGGTATCTTGAAACACACCATGGTAGGAGTTTCATATTATAGAAATTATCAGATGCTACAAACCAGGGATTGGTCTATTGCTTTACTGTTGCCTGGAGTCTTAAGAAAATGAGGGAGAAAGTGTTTTAAAATGCAGACTGAACTTAAAAACGTACTCTGTGTATAGCTGTTACACTGTGAATAACACACAAAAATCAAGGAAATATTCTTCCAATATTAAAAAAGACTGTTATTTGGTTCAGCAAAGAAGTTGCTGACATCCTGGATGAACAAGTGATATTCTGGCATAAGTATTCAGGTGTTTTTCATTTTTGTTTCACTCCTTAACGTAGTGAATATATCAACCAGCATGTATGTCAGAACTATACATGTTTGTCAGTTGCAACCATAGGTCAAAAGCATACTGTGAGAATCAATTGGCTACATTAAATATACAATACAGAGCATTGTATATGTTATTATTCTCTGTAAGTTGTGGGATATAGATTCTTTATATCGGTAGAATTTGTAAATGCACTTACCTATGTATGTATAATATATAGTCATAACGCACATACGTATATGTGTTGGTTGTTAAACATTTACTAACACACCACTGCTAACGTCACACAATCTATGAGTAGACAGGCTTTCAACTCAGGTGTGTTTAACACTAAGCCTGTGTTCTTAACCTCTACATTTCTTTCTTTGCATCACATTTGGGTAACGTAGGCCAGGGAGAGTCAGATACCTGGTCACACCTTAAATCTCTCCCTCTGTTACCCTGTCTAGCATGGAAGCATGATTAAGGCAACGCAGCATGATTAAGAGTCTAGACTTTAAGGCAAGACACATGGATTCTGATCCCAGTTCTACCATTCATTCACTCTTGGGCAAGTAATGACACCATTTTTAGGTTGTTTCCTCATCTGTAATGTGGAGCTAATGATAAATGGCACAGGGCTGTGCTAACCATAGCATGAGAGATGGAACATGTAAGGTGCCTCGTGTGCTTACTAAACAGTGGATGTTCCTACTGTGGGTATTTGCTCCACATGCTATCCTGGTATCTTTTTATTTCCTCCATTTGTGTCTGTTTCCACCTGAGAACTTCCCAAAGACTGACATAATACTTATGTCAAGCATAACCCTATACTTTGAGAGGGATTTGGCTATATCTTTTTTGTCGTTGTTGTTAAGGTTGATGGTGGTAGGGAATGTTAGTGACTGGTTCATTCTTAGGGCCATGAGAATATTGATGTTCAATCTCCTGTTCTCTCTTCAACCTTAGCACTTACATACTTTATTCTAGGTTTTTACAGATTGGTTAAGGAAGACTCACTACTTCTCTCTTTGTCTCTCTGGCATTATCTCCTTGAGGTGAACATTTTGTGGGATATGCTACAGGACCCCTGTTAGAATATTGCAGAGAAATCCCAAGGGCCTTGAAGGAGTACTCCCCCATGATTGACACAAGAACGTCAAGTTACTCCCAGGGTCATTTGTAAAGTATTTATTGGTGGAGCAAAGAAGCTTCTAAGATTTCAGCATGTACATATTGTTTGATCTGATACTGGATGGCACCTGGCACTCTTCCAGAATTGCTAAGAAATGGCCTAATGTGTTACAAAACATACAGAATGAAAAGTCAACCATAACAATCAACAGGTCAGGGACTGAAAGCTCACAGTGACAACAAAACTAGAATGCAAGCAGTTGCAGTGCCAGAGCTGAGGAAACAAGAGAAGTGCACGTTTATGTCATGTTTCCTGACTTGGACTGGTTTGGATCAGAAGCAATTTTATTTGTATCTATTTTGTAATGCAATTTCCGCAGGTATTACTAGTCCTTCAGGGACACTCATAAACCATGCTTCTTTTTAACTGGAAAAAAAAAAAAAAACTAACTCAAGGCTATTTTTTTTTCATGTGTTTATTTAAGCAGTTCTTTATTGTCCTCATGTGGGCTGTTCTTGGCAATGGGCTAAAAAGATATTTAGGCAATTAATTTAAATGGAGCTGTGCACCCAGTGGAGAGGAATCATAGACAGAACCATTCCAGACTGTTGGGTGAATCAGTTGCATTTTAAAGGTGCATTTTTCCACCCTGTAAATCTGAGTGATTTCAGTTAGCTCACCCTTTGTGCATGGAGACCCATAGTCTTCCATAGTTGTTAATTTTAATTTTTAAATAATTTGATGTCTGTCAAGATCTATATCTACATATCCCTGGATGCAGTAGGTGTAGCACAGTCTTTCCCCCTAGGCTGCCTCTCTTGCTTCCACCCCTCAGGAGACTGACCCAACAGTGGGAGTCTTGTTGAGGACAGTCTCCATCACCTGTGGGAATGGTCTCTGCAAGTTCCCTGGAGTTCCTGGTGGTCCTGTGTGAGGTGTTTTTTGCTTGTCTTCACAACTGGATGTACACACTGTAAAGCACAGGTGTGGAACGTCTTCAGCCCCTCACCTATACCTGTGAGTATGCATGGGACAGGAAATGCTAATGTATTAGTGGAATGGGGTGAGCTGTTTCCATACCTGGGCATTACAGTTTGTGTGTAGCTACAACCTATTAAACATCTGACGACTCACCTGCCCCCTACAGTTTCATAATAGTCATTTTTTTCTTTTCTTTTTTTTTTTTTTTTTTGAGACAGAATCTTGCTCTGTCACCAGGCTGGAGTGCAGTGGCACAATCTCAGCTCACTGCAACCTCCACCTCCTGGGTTCAAGCGATTCTTCCACCTCGGCCTTCTGAGTAGCTGGGACGACAGGCATGTGCCAGCATGCCCAGCTAATTTTTGTATTTTTAGCAGAGACGGGGTTTCACCATGTTGGCCAGGATGGTCTCGATCTCTTGATCTTGTGATCTGCCTACCTCGGCCTTCCAAAGTGCTGGGATTACAGGCATGAGCCACCATGCCCGGCCTCATAATGGTCATTTTTCTGGAGACTATACTTCCTAAATGGGTCTGATTTCTTACTACAGGTTAGTGTTTGTAGAATTAGAAAACTCTACCCTCTACAGTGTTCTCTGAAGGCTTTCGGAAGTCCCGATGTTTCTTCCCAAGGTATCTGATCCTCTCTCCATAATCCACCCAACTCCCCACCCTCGGTGCTGCCCCACTGACCCACCTGACATCTCCTTCCAGTTCCTGTCTGGAGTGGATGCCTGGTGCAAGATGTGCAGTGAAGGTGGTCTGCCATCTGAGATGCAGGACCTGGAGCTGGCAATCCATCACCACCAGACCTTGTATGAGCAGGTGACCCAAGCCTACACAGAGGTGAGAATGGAGCAGGGCAGCCATGGGTCTTGGGCATGTCTGCATGTGGGTGGGTGATGAGGGCACTGGCCTGCGCACTGTGAAATAGCCTGGGTGGGACTAAGAAGAAGAGAGTCTGTTTTTCTTTTTTTGGTGACATCTGTAAGAACCTTGATCTGTGAACTATGGTGTCTCCAGCCAGGAAACAGAAAAAAATTGGGGCCACTATTAAGCACCACCTTGGCGTACTCACATTCATTCTCTTTCTCTATCTCTCTCTCTCCCCGCTTCCTTCCTTCCTTCCTTCATTTCTTCCTCTTTCCTTTCTCTCTCTCTCTCTCTCTCTTTATATATATATATATATATATATATATATATATATATATATATATATATATATATACCTGTCTCATCCTGTGTGTGAAGATTGGACTTTCTTCTCTTGGGGGAGGCATATAAGGAAATGAAACTGTGCTTCTCTGGAGTTTGCTTTCTGGTTGGTGAATGGACATGTTCACAGTAGCTCTGCCACCTTTTTATGAAAAAGCTCATTAAAAAATAATTAATTTTAATACTGGAAGATCCAGAGGAAATCACACAGGGTGGAGATACGTGTTTGCAGGAGCAAGAAGCTTCCATGGATATGAAGGACAAAGGCTCTTCCATTGAAGATCAAAGGCAGAGGTGTTACTGCAAAGTTAAGAAAGGGAGGGGGGAACCTCTTAACCGTCCTCTCAAAGTGAAAGGAAGCAGTTACATATGTATATCTGTGTAGATATGCACAAGTTAGTAGGTTTGTTAACTGGCATGACTTTTGTGAGTGGGGAATGAGAGATGGAGGGAGATTAGGCTGATTAAGGAAGCTGGATGAGGAGAAGTGAATTCACATCCAGCCCATGTGTTTTCTCTGGGGCAGGATTAGTTAGAGGAGTGTTAAAATGGCTTCCTGGACTACCTGCATTGGACTCACCTGATAGAGATTCCTGGATCCCACCCCAGACTGAATCAGAATGTCAAGAAGTGGGATTAGGAACCAACATTTTAACAGCTATTACCCTTGGTGAGTTTGATGCACACTGAAGTCTAAGAACCAATGGCTTCTAGGTAAGGGTAAGGGTTTTTGCCATAGTCAAACTGAGTTTGACTCCTGGCTCTCCTATTTACTAGCTGTGTGATCTCAGGCAAGTTACTTAACCACTTTGAGCCTCGTTTCATCTGTGAAATGAAAGTGGTAACACCTGCCTCATAGGATAGTATTGAGGTTGTAAAGGTAATACTTGACAATTCGCAATTGCAAAAATATGGAAACAGCCTAAATGCCCATCAGCCAACAACTGGAGAAAGAAAATGCGGTATACATACACCATGGAATACTACTCAACCATAAAAAGGAACAAAGTAATGGCATTCACAGCAACCTGGATGGAGTTGGAGACCATCATTCTAAGTGAAGTAACTCAGGAATGGAAAACCAAGTATGGCATATTCTCACTTACAAGTGGGAACTAAGCTGTGAGGACACGAAGACATAAGCATGATATAATGGACTTTGGGACCATAGGGGAACACACTGGGTATAGTGCACACTGTTTGGATGATGGGTCTATCAAAATCTAAACCACCAAAGGACATATCCGTCTAACCAAACACCACCTGTTCCCCAAAACTATTTGAATAAATACATAAAAACATTGTACCCAACAAAAAATTAAAACAATAAAAATGAAGGTGAGGTATATTGTAATGAACGTGGCCCAGTGTCTGACAGCAAGGAGTACTAAAAAACGGTAATGTCTTCTGTCATTGTAGAAGGCACAGTGGAGGACTTATGAGCCAAATCTGATCTCATCAGCTCTGATCCATATGGCCCAATGCTTTGTCTCTTAGAATTGTGCCTCTGCCCATGAGTCAAGAATCTTTAAGTTTACTCCTTGCAAAATACAAATATAGAGAGTACAAATGAGATTAATATTATACTTTCACATATGTGAGGTGTGGGTGTAATTGTACATACAGATAAAATATTTCTATCAATTAATTATCAGGCCCTAGCATTGTGAGACTTAAACCTTTCCTCGAAGCCCACTTCAGAGGCCAGTGAGCTGTCCCTGCTTCTTACAGATGTGGAGACTGAGGCAGAGGATTGGAGCTCAGTCGGGGTGGATTTCTAGGATTTGGGCCTCCATCTCTAACCACCCTGCCCTGGACGTAGCATGGTGCCAAAAAACAGCATTTGCTTAGAATTTCAGGAAGAGAGCTCTCCTGGGTTTAGCCAAAGACAAGGATATTTGTTTTATTCATGACTCTGGTGGGCATCACCTCTGCATTGTTTATAAGTTACTTCCCCTACCTTACTCCCCTCACAGTCAATTATAGGAGATGGGGATAGGGGAATTGGATGGGTAGTAGTGGTTTACTCTCCTGGCCTCTGCTGCTTTTTATCCCAGCACCCCTCTTACCCACCCAGCCTTGAAAGCATTTCTGTGACCCCATGGGCAGGAGTAACAGTTGCTTCTGTATTCCTGGACCCCCAGCCATGCTGTTATCAGGGGCCAAAGGAGGAGTGAGGGAAGGATGCAAACCTGGCAAACAGCTTCATTGTCAGAGGTGTGGCGATAGAAGCACACCTCATTCCCTACCTTGCTGGCAGGATAAAAGACCATTTTCTTCTTCCAAGGCCTTCTTTTGGGGAAGACTCCACACCAGCTTTGACTTAATTGGTAACCAAATTTGGAGATTCAAAGTTTTTATCAATTCCCAGTCATCCCTGTTTTAAATTAAAAAGATGCATGTTCTATTGGGTACCCTGCCAAGCACAGGAGGGCCACAGGTGTTGATTGTATGATGCCACTTTCCAGAATTATTGATGCCTGTGATTGCGCCAGGACTTCAATGAGAAGAATGGCAGAGAGTGTCATCTCATTTTTCTCAGACTGAGGGCAAGTCAACCTAGGAATGTGGATGGTGTGTCCACAGTCTAAGTGTCCCAGCCTATCTGTGCATGTTCTAGAAAAAGTTCTAGAAAAATTGGTATTTTACTGCTTTTTTTTTTTCTGGGAGAAAGAAGGGATATAGAGTGAGACCAAAATGTTTTTAAAGGATATAGACAAAGAAATGACAAGGAAATAAAGAGAATGGGAGAGTGATGATGGTTGTATTAGTCTGTTCTCATGCCACTAATAAAGACATACCTGAGACTGGGTGATTTATTTAAAAAAGAAAAAAAAAGAGGTTTGATGGACTAAGAGTTTCACATGGCCAAGGAGACCTCACAATCATGGCAGAAGGTGAAGGAGGAGCAAAGCCATGTCTTACATGATGGCAATCAAAAGAGTGTGTGCAGGGGAATTTCCCTTTTATAAAACCATCAGATCTCATGAGACTTACTAACATGAGAACAGCATGGGAAAAACCTGCCCCCAGGATTCAGTTATGTCCCATCAGCTTTCTCCCACAACATGTGAGGATTATGAGAACTACAATTCAAGATGAGACTTTGGTGGGGTTACGGACAAACCATATCAATGGTGATGATGATGAAGATAAAATTGGTAGCCAGTATCACATGCCAGGCCCTATTCTAAACACTCTATGTGTGTTAACTCATTTAATCCTCACCACGACTTTATGAAGTATGTACGTAATTATCCCTCCTTTACAGACATGGAAACTGAGGACCAAGGAGGTTAAATAACTTGCCTCTTGTCACACATCTAGAAGTTTGGAGCCAGATAGAGGAAACTGGGAAAGAAGGAGCAGAAGGTTATGGTGGCAACTTATATTGACTTCATTTCTGAAATGAAGTTATGCTGTCCCACCTGGTGTGAGTCAGTTAAAATATTTACCAAGTGTCTACTGTGTGCCAGGCACTGTTTTGGGCACTGGGGGGAGAGCAGCAAGCAGGCAGGGTCCCTGCCTTCACAAAGCTGAAATTTAGGAAGGGAGAGAGTCTCACAGACAACTGTCCAGCACTCCAGCAACTCCCCTATCCCAGGATTCTAGCTGTTCTTCTCTCCACCAGGCTGGAGGCTGGGCCCTATGGAAGCTCTGGCTGGATAGTTGTCTGGCTGTGGAAAGCTTGAGATTCTCAGAAGGCCTAGTCAGGGACCCTCGGGCAGACTCTTCCTGTTTCTCTCTGTGCCCTGCCTATCACTGTTTTCCCTTAATCCAAACTTCTCTCTTTCTTACAGGTCAGCCAGGATGGCAAAGCTCTGCTAGATGTGCTACAGCGGCCCCTGAGTCCTGGGAACTCCGAATCCCTCACAGCCACAGCCAACTACTCCAAGGCAGTGCACCAGGTGCTGGACGTGGTGCACGAGGTGTTACACCACCAGCGACGGCTGGAGAGCATCTGGCAGCACCGAAAGGTGCGACTCCATCAGCGGCTGCAGCTCTGTGTCTTCCAGCAGGACGTACAGCAGGTAACAGGCTCTGAGCCCTGGTGCCTATCATCCATTCTAGGAGTCAGACCAAGCTGAAGTCCTGACCTAGGTGAAAAGGCTTAGGAGAGCCCAGATTTATAGAGGGAAAAATGGAATTCAGCTCTCAACTGCTCCACAGAACCCCACCAAAACACAAAACAAAAACTGGACCTGTGAATTACATGTTTCTTGCCTATGTGACTTTATAGACTCGCCTTCTCGCCATGTGGTGTTGGAAAGGGAGACTCAATCTCAGGAACTGCAATTCCTCGTAGTCATATGGCACATTTTTCTTTTGTTTTTTGAAGGCAGAGTCTTGCTCTGTTGCCCAGACTGGAGTGCGGTGGTGTGATCTTGGCTCACTGCAACCTCCGCTTTCTGGGTTCAGGGAATTCTTGTGTCTCAGCCTCTCAAGTAGCTGGGATTATAGGCATGTGCCACTGCACTGTCTAATTTTTGTATTTTTGTGGGGACGGGATTTTACCATGTTGGCCAGGCTGGTCTCGAGCTCCTGACTTCAGGTGGCCTGCCCTCCTCGGCCTCGCAAAGTGTCAATATGGGTGGGGGTTAGGGTTAGGGCCAATATGGCACATTTTTCTTTTGGTGAGCTTGATCCACCCTCAGGCAATGATTGCTAGACAGCCCAGGGGTACAGGATTAGCTGAGGATTGTCAGGCTTAGACCCCACATATGGTCCGTCTGGGATGCAGGGTCCCTGACTAGGCCTTCTGAGAATCTCAAGGTCCTGCCAGAGTGGGAGTGGAGTCGGGTATGGGGACCTTCAGAGAATTCCTTGACAAGGTTGGACCAGGAAAATCAGATTTAAAACATAGGCTGTTGTTCAGTGTATGTTTCATGATTACAGGTTATTTCTGACTTTATGTAATTTTTTTTTTATTATGACATTAGTATTGGCTTTTTCCTTTACCACTAATAATGAAGACATGGTTATGTTTCTGACCACAAAAGGACAATCTTACTATAAATGCCCTTTCAGATGGAATTACTCATTCTTTTCTCCTTGTACTTTCTCTTTTTCTGTCTTCTGGGGGACCCTGGGACCTTTGCTGGAGGACTGATACACTGGGTCAGGGGGAGCTGGTTGAGAGATGGGGACTGAGATCAAGGCTTACTGTCATCTCCTTCTTAGTTCACCATAGGAGAACTAAGGACGGGCTTAGCTGTCCTAGGATGGGCTCTGCAGAGCTGCAGAGGAGCTGCTGGGGTGGACGCACTTGTGTTCAAACACCTGTTTGACTTTTCTTTGGCTACCGTGCAACTCCAAGATTGTACATATAAAACAATTCACTCTCCTTTCATTCTTTTGTGGTATCAACCAGGTATAATCCAAGTATAATCTAATGTATTTACTGTATTATATAATAAAACATAATCCACTGTATATTTCCAGTGTAGTGAAATACACATGGAAAACTAAGAGCAACTGTACATGTCTTTGGAGTATTGGTTTCTTTCACAGCTGTTATTAGAGGAGCCTGTGGTGCTGGCTGCCTGAAGTAGTCAGGCAGAGTGAAGAGAGAGTTGGGCATTCTTATCTCACTTACTGTGACAGCCTCTGAATAGGAGGATAGTCACTGTGCAATCAGTCCCAGGAGCAGATGGGCCTTCCAGCATGTCCCCACTTCTTGGGCTGCTGTAACTCCTTTGCAGAGTCCTCTTCTGACTGGAGCATCAATTGAGTCATCAGAGGAAACACCTTGATCCCAGGAGAAATGGGCACTACTGATGTGCTGGCTGCAGTTCTGAAGTCTTTGTGGGACCTGCTGGGAGTGGAGAAGCAAATGAATCAGTTGCCTACTCCTGCCATCTGGAGCTATCCTGATAAATACATCATCCCTGAGCACAGGAGACCACAAGAGGCAGTCTGTGATTGAGACAGAGTGAGGTGCCAGCCTCTGAAGGCACAAAGGAGAGGCATTGCTATTTCAGTGAACTCTCCATGACTCTCAGAGATGATCTGGGCCATGAATTGTGCAGTTTCCATGGTGTCCTCTTTACCCTTGTGCTGATTTTACAGCTGTTGTCCTAGAATGGGCTCTGAAGAGCTGCAGAGGGGCTGCCAGGAGGTTGGTGAAAGGCCTTCCCAAGCGGAGGGTGGCATTCCAGATCAACTCTCAGGGAACTGCTGTGATCTGACTTTTCTGTGGCCACCACGACATCTAAACTAAAGCTAAGAAAAAGTATAAAACCACACCTGTGGCTGTTCTACATCATACTTTTAAAAATGAGAGCCTTTCTGAAATTAAGACCCTGTCAGTTCATTACTTTCTTGTTTGTAAATCCATGAGCATGGAATGCTTTTCTGTTTGTTTGTGTCCTCTCTTATTTCCTTGAGCAGTGGTTTGTAGTTCTCCTAGAAGAGGTCCTTCATGTCCCTTGTAAGTTGTATTCCTAGGTATTTTATTCTTTTTGTAGCAGTTGTGAATGGGAGTTCACTCATGATTTGGCTGTCTGTCTATTATTGGTTTATAGGAATGCTTCTTATTTTTGCACATTGATTTTGTATCCTGAGACTTGTTGAAGTTGCTTATCAACTTAAGGAGATTTGGGGCTGAGACAGTGTGGTTTTATAAATATACAATCATGTCATCTGCAAACAGAGACAATTTGACTTCTTCTCTTCCTACTTGAATATCTTTTATTTCTTTCTCTTGCCTTATTGCCCTGGCCAGAACTTCCAATACTGTGTTGAATAGGAGTGGTGAGAGAGTGCATCCTTGTCTTGTGCCGGTTTTCAAAGGGAACGCTTCCAGCTTTTGCCCATTCAGTATGATATTGGCTGTGGGTTTGTCATAAATAGCTCTTGTTATTTTGAGATACATTCCATCAATACCTAGTTTATTGAGAGTTTTTAGCATGAATGGGTGTTAAATTTTGTCAAAGGCCTTTTCTGCATCTGTTGAGATAATCATGTGGTTTTTGTTATTGGTTTTGTTTATGTGATACATTAAGTTTATTGATTTGCATATGCTGAACCAGCCTTGCATCCCAGAGATGAAGCCGACTTAATCATGGTAGATAAGTTTTCTGATGTGCTGCTGGATGTTGTTGGCTGGTGTTTTATCGAAGATTTTCGCATTGATGTTCGTCAGGGATGTTGGCCTGAAATTTTCTTTTTCAGTTGTGTCTCTGCCAGGTTTTGGTGTCAGGATGATGCTGGCCTCATAAAATGTGTTAGGGAGGAGTCCCTCTTTTTCCATTGTTTGGAATAGTTTCAGAAGGAATGGTACCAGCTCCTCTTTGTACCTCTGGTAGAATTCGACTCTGAATCCATCTGGTCTGGGACTGTTTTTGGTTGGTAGGCTATTAATTACTATCTTAATTTTAGAACTTGTTATTGGTCTATTCAGGGATTTGACTTCTTCCTGGTTTAGGTGTATGCATCCAGGAATTTACCCATTTCTTCTAGATTTTCTAGTTTATTTGCATAGAGGTGTTTATGGTATTCTCTGATGGTAGTTTATATTTCTGTGGGATCAGTGGTGATATCCCCTTTATCCTTTTTATTGTGTCTATTTGGTTCTTCCCTCTTTTCTTCTTTATTAATCTGGCTAGAGTTCTATCTATTTTGTTAATCTTTTCAAAAAACCAGCTCCTGGATTCATTGATTTTTTTGAAGGGTTTTTGTGTCTCTATCTCCTTCAGTTCTACTCTGATCTTAGTTATTTCTTGTCTTCTGCCAGCTTTTGAATTTGTTTGCTCTTGCCTCTCTAATTCTTTTAATTGTGATGTTAGAGTGTTGATTTTAGATCTTTTCCACTTTCTCCTGTGGGCATTTAGTGCAATAAATTTCCCTCTAAACACTGCTTTGGCTGTGTCCCAGAGATTCCGGTATGTTGTGTCTTTGTTCTCATTGGTTTCAAAGAACTTATTTATTTCTACCTTAATTGTGTTATTTACCCAGTAGTCACTCAGGAGGAGGTTGCTCAGTTTCAATGTAGTTATGGTGTTTTTGAGTGAGTTTCTTAATCCTGAGTTCTAATTTGATTGAATTGTAGTCTGAGAGACTGTTTGTCATGATTTGTGTTCTTGTGCATTTGCTGAGGAGTGTTTTACGTCCAATTATGTGGTCAATTGTAGAATAAGTGTGATGTGATGCTGCGAAGAATGCATATTCTGTTGATTTGTGGTGGAGAGTCCTGTAGATGTCTACTGGGTCGGCTTGGTCCAGAGCTGAGTTCAAGTCCTGAATATCCTTGTTAATTTTCTGTCTCATTGATCTGCCTAATATTGACCGTGGGGTGTTAAAATCTCCGGCTATCACTGTGTGGGAATCTAAGTCTCTTTGTAGGTCTCTAAGAACTTGCTTTATGAATCTGGGTGCTCCTGTATTGGATGCAAGGAATCCCAATGCACCATCTGTTTTTCATTCTCCTCTAACTCCTTTATCTTCCCATATATGTAAAAGGACTACTTCTAGGCCCAGATAGACCTGAATTGTGGAGGAAAGAACAAGGAGCTGCTAGATTCTTGCTCTTTCTGGGAGATGTGAATTTCATTCTATCTTTCCTTAGCTAGAGCAACTGTTTTCGGAGCATCCCCTGCAGGCAGGCCACCTTGGACTGCCTCCCCTTCTTCCTCACTCTCTATTTTTTCTCAAGAATGAGTCTCTCTGATAGCAAATGCAAGAGACAACACTCTTTGGTAGATAGTAGGTAGGATTTGCAAATAAAACACAAACACAGGAATAATCTGCACTGATTGTTTAAATCATATAATTCCATGATTTTGTCTTTTAGTGTGACTTTAACCCTCCTGCGCCCAACCTCTTTTTTTTTTTTTTTTTTTTGAGACAGCATTTCACTCTTGTTACCCAGGCTGGAGTACAATGGCACAATCTCGGCTCACCACAGCCTCTGCCTCCTGGGTTCAAGCAATTCTCCTGCCTCAGCCTCCCGAGTAGCTGGGACTACAGGCATGCACCATCATGCCCAGCTAATTTTTGTATTTTTAGTAGAGACAGGGTTTCACCATGTTGA